TCTTATGCAACACAGGCCCACCTGCCCAGGGGTGGCACCACCCACAGTGGTGGCACCACCACCTCCCACATCACTCATCAAGAAGATGCCCCTCAGACATGGCCACAGGCCAGTACAATAGAGGCAATTCTCCAATTGAGGGTCCCTCAACCCAGGTGTGTCAAGTTGACACTAAAGCTATCCAGCACACCAAGTTCTTGGATATAAGAGGCTATGAACGGTATTAGTGAGGTCTATAGTGGATGATCTGGTGAGCCTTGGCATCCCATTCCTTCCAAGTTTGTCACTTTGGTCCCTCAAGGAGACTTTTAAAGATTGTGATGAGGAAGGAGGATCAGTGCTTTTTCATCTGTTGTGAGAATAAAGGAAGTGCAGGAAGAGCTGAGCAGAAAGTTTAAGTGAAACGTGAAACATACATCTGGTTTGGGATCCATAGGAACACCAATCTCAGTGCCTCCTTGTAGGATCAGACTAAGTGCTGTGGAGTGAGATTTAGGAGTTAGTAGGAGGCTGGTTGTGGCAGCACACACCTCTTATCCCTGCACTCTGAAGGCTGAAGCAGGGAGGATTGGTGAGAGTTTGAGGCCAATCTGGTTTGGATAGTGAGTTCGAAGCCAACCAAGGATACATAGCAAGATCCTGTATCAAAATATAATATATATATATTTTTTGGTCTTTTTGAAACAGGGTCTCCCTGTAGCCCCAGCTGTCCTGGAACTCACTATGTAGACCAGGCTGGCCTTGAACTCACAGAGATCTGCCTGCCTCTGCCTCCTGAGTGCTGGGATTAAAGCAGTGCGCCCAGCATAAAATATATTTTATATTATCAAAATATAAAACAAAAGTCAGTAGAAACCAGATAGGTCCCACCAGGACTGCTTTAGGTAACTGGCTTCACCACCTCTTCTGCTAGCAAGAGATTCTGCTTTTCTGTTCGAGTTTCCCATTGAAGGATTGGCTAGAGTTGGCCCACTCTAGCAATGTCTAGCAGGACACTGGAGAGAAAGAAATCTTTGATCTCTGTGTAAACAAAACTAAAGCTCTTTGGAATTATATTAGTAGCAATCCTTCTGCCACTGTATGAACACACTGTATCACTTCTTTTTCTTCATAAATTTTGAAATAATTATGACAGACCATTATTGTTTTCCAAAAACATTTTATTTATTTGTTTTGTGTGTGCATGCCTGTGGAGATCAGAAGACAACTTATGGGAATTGGTTCTCTGCTTTTTCTATGTGGGTCCTGGGGATTGAACTCAGGTTGTCAGGCTCGTAATAAGCACTTTTACCTGCTGAGCCACCTTGGTGGAGTTATTATCCTTATTATTTTGTTTCTTTTTTGTGTTTCTGAGACATGGCCTCCTGCAGGCCAGGCTGAACTTGAATTTGCAATGTTATCTTAAAATGACCTTGAATTCTTGATTCTTTTTGCTTCCACTTCCCAAGAGCTGGGATTATGGGTCTGTCTCACTATTCTGGGCTCATGCAGACGTTATCAACCCATTTTGCAGATATGCAAACTCAACCCTACAGTCTGGGGAACTAGAAACTACACTCTGGAAATTACAGGCATGCACCACCACACCTGGTTTATGCTGTGGTGAGGATCGAACCTAGGGTTTCGTGCATGTGAAGCAAGCACTCTACCAACTGAACTGCATTCCCAACTCTGCTCACATTTCTTTTATTAAAAATTCCGATCAATGAGTTGTTGATCACTTATTCACCTGGTACTACACTTCTATAAATGATGGCCTATAAATTGCCTTGGGTAATTCACATTCCTATTAATATTATGAATCTCTTTCCCTGGCGGGGAAGAAATTCTATCTAAATTCAAGTCTCTCTTTAAACCCCTGAGGGGCCCCATCAACTATCTTGAACTACAACTTCCATGGTGCAACGGGTAACGTACAGCAATCCTACTTATTTGATCGAACCTCCAGCCAATCCAATGCCAGAACTCTCAGTCAGCGACCTATTGGCTCCTGGTGGAGGCGGGGCTCTCAGTTACTAGGTTGGTACCCTTCCGGAAGTGGTTGTTGGTTGCTGCAGGGCAACACCCTGGCGTCCCTGGAAGCCGGGAGCCGGACACCCCGACATTCCTAAAAGCGGGGAACCGGGGTGGTGCTGGGGAGGCGGTGCAGAGCCACCGCCCAGGGTTTCCCGGGTCGAGGACAGGTGAGGATCTCCTGGAGCAGGGCTGCACGGCGTGGCGGGGAAGGAGGGTTGCAGAGGAGCGGGGCACCCTGGGGTGTCGCTGCGCGGGATGTGAAGGAGTGTGGGCGGGAAGCGAGGAAGGAGAGTCAGGCCTTCCAGCCTCCCCAAAATCCTGTCTCCCAGCCTCTGGTAGCCCCATCGTGGGCTAGCCTAAGCTCACCCAACTTCATGCTGTCTTTCGGCCAGCTGGGCAAATTGGGAGGTTTGGGTTTTCTTTACACTGATTGAGGAATCTCTGTCCCGAACCGTTCTTGCCCTCCGCTTCCAGACTCCCTCTCGGGGCTCTCTGCTCTGCACCCGCCCCCACTTCACCACACCACACTCCATCTGCGGGTGATTTCCCGCCCGCTGCCCCCCGCCCCCAGCTTCAGTTACTGGCTACTGGCTATTCAGTGAAGCACCCACACCCCGGAGAGATCTTTCCTAAGAAAGCTTAGATCTGCTTAGGGATCCTCTCCAACCTTCCCTGGACCCCGGATCAGTGTCTACCTCCTGTGTTTCTTGTCTCAGCGGAAAACTTCACCATCACCCTGGGAATTCATTCTTCTAGTGTACGCAGCACGCATCAGTTTGGTATGTCCTGGGTTCTGGGCAGTCTGGTGTGGGGTTGCCTCTTGGCCAAGGCCTGGAATCACTACTTAAAGGCTGCAGTGCACTACTTTCCCACCACCCTCCCTTCCCTAACATACGTTAAGACCTGTTATTCTCCTGCTCCCACCCCCGGGTTGGAGCCCTTCCCTTCTCTTTCCTCAAGCACTGACTTGGTTTATTATTTCTTGCCTGTACTTTCAGAACAGCTGTCTCAGTTCTCTGCCTACTCTGAACAGTTCTTGTGCAGTTGTCTGAAGCACCTTTCTTAACTGTCAATCTCATCAGCTAGTCTCCTTATGAAATCCCTGTGACTGCCCCTCCTAATGTGTAGGAGACAGCTTCAGACCTCCCAAGCTCTTTATAATCTGGTCCTTGGCTTCCATTCTAGCAATTTCTTTATTCAAAAAGTGGGGCTAGTAATCTCTGTCTAGCTAGAGGGTGAGGTGAAATAAAGCTTAGGAGTTTCTGCAGCGGGTGTGGTGTGAATCTAAGCTTTTGCTGTCATAATCCTCTGAACCCCCCTGGCCACTCCAAAGCTTTTATCTATCTATCTATCTATCTATCTATCTATCTATCTATCATCTATCTATCTGTCTATCTATCTATCTATCACCTATCTATCATCTATCTCTCTATCATCTATCTATCATCTATCTATCTATCTATCTATCTATCTATCTATCTATCATCATCATCTATCTATCTGTTTTTAAGACAGGGTCTCCCTGTAGCTCCAGCTGGCCTGAACTCGATATGTAGACCAGGCTAGCCTCAATCTCACAGAGATCCACCTGCCTCTATGTCCTGAGTGCTGGGTTTCAAATAGTTTATTATTTTTATTTTATTTTGTGTGTATGAGTGTGAGTGTATTGCCTGCATATATGTGAGTGCACTTGTGTTGTGCAATGCTGGTGGAAGTCAGAAGAGGGTGTTGGATCCCTTGGAACTGGAATACAGATGGTTGTTAGCTGCCATATGGGAGCTGGGACTCGAACCTGGGTCCTCTGCAAGAACAGCCAGTGCTCTTAACCACTGAGCCATCTCTCCAGCTCCCTGAGTGCTGGGTTTAAAGGTGTGTGCCACCACACCCTGCTATTTATTTATTTATTTATTTATTTGTTTATTTATATTTTTGTGGTACTGGGGATTGAACTCAGGGCCTTGCATATGCTAGACAGGCACTCTGCCATGGAGCTGTATCCCCAGTCCCCATTCCCTTCCACTAAGCTCTTTACCACTTTGCCTTTGTGTGTGGTGTTCCTTCTGCCTTAACTTTTCTTGCTCTGGGGTCTGGGAGATAGCTCAGTTGGTGAAGTGCTTACTTTGTAAGCTTGAGGACCTGAGTCTGAGCTCTAGAACCTGTGTAAAAAGCCAGGCATGGTGGTTCATGCTTGTAACCCAGCACTGGGGAGGCAGAGGCAGGTAGATCCCTAGGGCTCACTGGTCAGCTAGTCTAACCTAATTGGTAAGCTTCAGGCCAGTGAGAGACCCTGTTTCAAAGGAAGTGGACTACTTTCCTGAAGGTATCTGAGGTTGCTTCTGGCCTCCACAGGTGTATACACACACACACACACACACACACACACACACACACACACACACACACCCATATGAGCATATACACGTGCATAAAAAAATTCTTGCTCCTCTTATTCTGGTAAGTCCCTGCTTAACCTTCAAGCAGTGCTCTGCTCTGTGATGCTTTCAGTCATCTTCCAGTCACATTAGTTACCTTTACCTTTGTGTCCTGTTGTATCTTCTATTTCTTTTAATTATGTTTAATGCATTATATAGGCATGTGTTACATAACCTGACTTTCCAGTAGGATGAGCTCAAATTCAGAGCCATGTGAAATCAACCTGGCACAACTGTTGCTTAAAGCATGCAGAGGAGATATTTAACTTGAGAAGGGAAATTGAACCAACACCCCTGTGTACTTCTACTGCTCCTTAGAGTCTGGAGGTCATTGTTAGTGGTTTAGAGCAGTAGCCAAGCTCCTACAGCTTATGTAGAGTTATTTTGGGCTTGGTTAGGAAACTCAAGAGATAGAGGCATTGCCCTCAGAGGTTTGTGGTTTAGCAAGAGAGGTGGAGGCTAATACCATAAAATGTGCCTATGAACACAGGAGAACTGTGGGGCCCCAGTGGTTCCAGGCTGGCAGGAGATGGACAAGTGCGGTTGAGTGACTCTGCCCCACAACCCTAAGGCTCATAGTGGACTTAGCAAGTATGTCCTTAGCAAGGACTCAGCCCTTTCTGAGTTTACAGTTCTCTTATGATAAAGACCAGATCTTCTGTATGGCTTTGCTTTTGCCCTCCTCCCCAGCAACTGGGTTGCTTCCTTTTATTTATTTTTTTCTCAAAGATTTATTTTTTATATGTATAACTGTTTTGCCTGTGTGTATATAAATGTACCTGGTGTGTGTGCAGTGCCTGAAGAGGCCAGAAGAGGGTGACAGAGCTGCCATGGGGATGCTAGGAATAAAACCTAGGCCCTCTGCAAGAATCTGGCAAGCAGCAGTGCTCTTAATCACTGAGTCCTCTCTCCAGCTTCATGCTGCTTTTGCTTGGTGGTATTCTCTGCTGCAGGCCCTTTGCACATGAAGCTGTTTCTGTTGTTAGAACTTGTTTCCTTCTTTGCCAATAAATGCTTGTTCATCTTTCAGGCCTCAGCATAGGGACCATCCAGTCAGGCCCAGGCTCATGTCCTTCAGTACTCTTTTATCCCATTTGTAATGCTACTTTTTGGGGGGATCTTTTTGAGACAGGGTCTCCCTGTAGCCACAGCTGTCCTGGAACTCACTATGTAGACTAGGCTGGCCTAAATCTCATAGAGATCCACCTGCCTCTGCCTCTGAGTGCTGGGATTAAAAGCATGCTACCATCATATCCGACACACTTTTTTTCCTTATTACATTTTAATGTGTGTGTGTGCATGATACAGTGCATGTGTGATGGTCAGAGGACAACTTGAGGGAGTGGTTCTCTCCTTATACTTTTTGGGTCCCAATGATCAAACTTAAGTCATTTAAGCTTGGTGGCAACAGCCTTTACTCAGTGAGCCATCTTGCTGGTCCTTTGTTTTTCCTTCTTTTTGACACAGTCTCCTATTACCTTGGTTGGCCTTGAGTTCCTTATATAGCCAAGGATGACTTTGAACTTGGGATCTTCCTGTTTCTACCTCCCAAGGGCTACAATTATAGGCATGCATTCCCATGTCCAGTTTAGCACTGATATTCTTATCTGGGATTGTTTGGCCAAGCTGTAGTAGCTCAAGGGAGTGATGACAGAGTCTGTGTTTAATCACGGTTGTGTGTCTAGTACCTCGAAAGAAACTTGGTAGGTGCTTAGCACACATTTTCCCAATACATGGCTGACCTGCTGGCCATTAAAGAAATAAGATTTCTCTCCCCACGCCCTTTTCCACACCTCTTTGTCCTTTTGGTCCTCTCCTTTGCTACATCTTCTTTGAAGCCATGAAAGGCAAGGAAAGGTGGAACACTATAGCTCACCCGTATGTTTAAAAAGATATTTCGTTATTTTTATTTTATGTGTATGAGTGTATTGCGTGCATGTATGTGAGTGCACCCATATCATGCAGTGCCGGTGGTCAGGAGAGGGCATCAGATTTCCCTGGAACTGGAGTTACAGCCAGCCGCCATGTGGGTGCTGGGAATTGAACCCGGGTTGTCTGCAAGAGCAGCCAGTGGTCTTAAACACTGAGCCATCTCTCTAGCACCAAGCTCACCCCTATTTAATTTTTTTTTTTCTGGAAGAAGATTCATTTGAAATTTGGATAATCCATGAATTCATATATTCCATGTTCTTCCTTACCTTTAAGAAGTGAAATATAGATACTTTTATTCACAGTTCATCAGACTTTTTTGCTGCTGCTGTCATGAGGCAGCGATTGTACCTGCCTTTGCTGTTTACAGATGGGGTGTAGAGCTTGATCATACATCTCAGATGCAGAATTTCTTGGATTGTGTGAAAGGGTTAACACAATGTGCTGTATAGAGCTGAGTTTGGTAAGTGCTTGTTCACCTCATGTTTGGGTCACTGTCGAGCCTCTCCATCTGTGGCTTTTCTTTTCTTGTCCCCTCTTCTCTCTAATTAAGAGGATTAATGACTCCAGTGACTCATTATATTACCAGGCGTCCTGGTTCCTGTTCATCTCGGGTGTTTTTTAGAGTCAGGCTTCATGGTTTCTGACTATGTGCAGAGGCATGAGCGTAATGTCTGTAAGGTGTTGTGGCTTGTAGGGTGGGAGCAGTTTCCCTCAGCTTATGTATTGAAGAGAGTTCTTTTTCCTTTGATCTTTTCTTCTTGCCTGGAGAGGGTATAGTGGGAAGTGAGAAGGGTAGAGTCTGGCTTTGTTGGGGTCTGGCAGATGAATGAAGGGAGCAGTGTCATTGTCATGACCTCAGAAGGCCATGGTAACAGGCCTCGATGGATCCTTTGTCGCTTGTCAGAGGTCCATTTCTATGGATCTGGGAGTCAGAGTTTACTAGGTTCAGCCATTACTGGATCTTCACTCCAGGCCTGGTCTGGGCCTTTATGATGAGGGGCGGGGGAAAGGGAACATCTTTCTGCTAGAAGAGGGACATTGCATGTTTGCTTCCTCTGATGGCTTCTTAAGAGAGGGCCTGCTGTGTCAGTCACATCTGGTGTGTTAGGTGGAGAGGGCTTAGCATGGCTGTCTGTGATAGCCTGTTTGTCTCTGCTTCATTAGGTTTCAACATGGGAGCTGCTGTGGGGGAAAGGAAGGAGAACCTGGGGGTCTAGAGGTGGAGATAAGACTAGGGGCAGGAAGAGAGGAACAATTCCAGTGTTGTATCAGTGCTGGGGGTGTAGCTTGGTAATAGGGTGCTAACCTAGTATGCACTAGGCCTGGGTGCACTACAAATAAATAATGAAGTGAAGATAAGATACAGTATATATAAAGAAGTACATTATCTCATCAGCCAAGAACTTGGTACCACCTCATCCCTGGAACTAGAATCCTTGGACTCAAAGTGGGTCCTATCATAGTCAGCTCTGGCTGCCATGACAGTACCGTAGATGTGTGGATCAAACACTGTTTTCTTACAGTTTGGGGGACTGGAAATCACTGATTAAGGTCCTTTCCTAGTTCCTGCCTTGTGCGTGACTCCTGTCTTGCTGTGTTTTCATTTGGTGTAGAGAGAACTCTGATTTCCTTTGCTTATAAGGACACTAATCCTGTCAGGTCAGGGCCCCACCCTTATGTCCTCAAGTAACCTCGATGGTATCTTAAAGACCGTATTTCTTAGAAAGTCATATTGTAATTGTGGAAGTTTTGGAAGGGTACCGTCTAGCCCATTGTGACTCCTGTCCCCTCTTTCCTTCCCACATCCCAGCTCTCTTAAGTCTAACATTACGGTGTCCATTGTGTCTGTCCTTCTCCATTCCCACTGCTTCTGCCCTAGTTTTAAACCCTCATCATCTTTCACTGGGATGGAAGCCTCAAGTGCTTTTCCTGTTACCAGCATCTTGGTTCTCCAGTTCAGCCACACCAGTTCTACAGAGTTCTTGTCCTTAAAAAAGACCACTTTATTGAATAGATGTAGAAGGGACAGGGTAGAGATGAGGGAGGGGTCTGAGTGTGATCCAAATACATAGTATGGAATTTCTGGAATCAATAAAAATATGTAAAACAAACAAAAAAGGAAATAATTATATGCTCAATATACAATGTACCTTTATATGAACACTTAAAAATAAACTATAAAAATGATAATAAAAAAAAGACCACTTTATGTCACTTCCTTTTCCCAAAGCCCTCAGCAGCCCCCCTTTGCTACAGGGCAGAACTTAGGAGGCTGTCCCTTTCCATCCACTAAGCTGGCTTTCTGCCCCAGCCCTTGCCATGCATGTTGTAGAAAACCTGCAGCTGTACCCTGTGCTCCCTGTCTAGAAAGCCTTCCTTACCCTTCAGTGAGAAGGGGCTTCTTCTCCTCCTCTTCTTCCTCCTTTTTTTTTTTCATTTTTTTGAGACAGGGTCTCCCTGTAGCACCAGCTATCCTGGAACTCGCTATTTTGACCAGGCTGGCTTCAAACTCACAAAGATCTGCCTGCCTCTGCCTCCCAAGTGCTGGGATTAAAGGCATGCACTACCATGCCTGGCACCTTTTTTTTTTTCTTTTTTTAAAATTGTGTGTATGAGTATATTGCCTGCATGTAAGTGCACCCATGTTGTGCCAGGCTCGTGGGGACCGGAAGAGGGCATCAGATTCCCTAGAACTGGAGTTAAGGGTGGCTGTTAGCTGTCATGTGGGTGCGGGGAATGGAACCCAGGTCCTCTGCAAGAGCAGCCAGTGCTCTTAACTGCTGAGCTATTTCTCCAGCCTGGAACTGGTAGTCTAGACTTGGTACTCTCAGATCAAGAGGATTCTGCCTTCTGCTGAAGGGGCACATGCTCCCACCCCTTAACTGCTTGCACCCGCTGTGGAAAAAGTGACTGCGCCCTGGGGTGTGCTAACATTTGAGGGTCTGTATTTTAGTTGTCCCTGGGGTTTTCTGGCTGAGGGTTGTGTACTGCAATTTTTCTCCTATTTGGGGAGGCATAAAAAGTCAAACTCTTTAGAGAGCCAGGCTTGAAAATCTTTGGTGGTTCACTGTGTGTTCTCTAGCTTTTGGCATGGCATCTCCAGGAAATGACCCAGGCCCAGAGCCTGGGAAGCCCAAGTTCTGAGCTGCAGGGAGAATTCCCAGCCATGCTGGTTTGCAGGGTTGGTGTGACCCAGAGGCTCTATAACCCAGTGCCAGCTCTCCCTTTCCAAAATGGCTCACTGATTTCTCTCTTGGGGGTAGGGTCTCTGGGATCTAGGTCTTCAAGCCCGAACTGAATCATGGCCAGACGACCCATCCTCTTAGGAGACCAGCTGGTTCTGGAGGAAGATTCTGATGAGACCTATGTTCCCAGTGAGCAAGGTAAGAGGCTTGTTGGTTGTAGTAGTTCTTTGAGGGCAGACATTATAGCTGACTTACTTTTGAGTGTATGGTACATGCACAGGCTGCTCAGTATATTTGGGTTAGTTCAGAGTTGGCAAACTGTAGCCTTTGGGCCAAATTTGGCACCTTGCCTGTTTTGTCAATAAAATTTTTTCCAAAAAAAATTTTATTGGAAAATAGCCATGCTTGTTTCTGTATCATCTAGAGCTATCTTCATGTATGTATATGAGTATATTGCCTGTATGTATGTAAGTGCACCTGTGTTGTGCAGTGGCCTTGGAGGTCAGAAGAGGGCATTAGATTCCCCTGGAACTAGAGTTACAAATGGCTTTTAGCCACCATGTGGGTACTGGGAATCAAACTTGGGTCCTTTTACAAGAGCAGGCAGTGCTCTTAACTGCTGAACCATCTCTCCAGCCCTATTCTTTCTTTCTTTATTAAATTTAAAAAAATGATTTATTTTTATTTTGTGTGTATGAGTGTTTTGCCTGCATGTATGTGAGTGTACCCGTGTTGTCCAATGCCCATGGAGGTCAGAAGAGGGTGTTGGGGATCACCTGGAACTGGAACTAAGGATGGTCGTTAGCTGCCATGTGAGTGCTGGGAATCGAACTTGAGTCCTCTGGAAGAGCAGCCAGTGAGTACTCTTAACCACTAAACCATCTCTCCAGCCCCCTCTTTATTGAATTTTTTATGTTTATTTTGGGATGGGTAGTGTGGAATACATGTTATAGCACATATGTGGAGGTCAGAGATCAGTTTGGTTTTCTTCTTCCTCTGTGTGGAGTCTGGGAACTGAATTGAGGTGTTCAGGATTGGCTGTAAACACCTATATCCACTGAGCCTTCCCTCCCCCGAGGTTTTTGAGATAGGGTCTTATTCTGTAGAATAGACTGGCCTGGAACTCCTGCGTATTCCAGGCTGGCCTCTAACTCACAGCAGTCCTCCTGCTTTAGTCTCTCCAGTGCTTGCATTACAGATATGGGCTACCACCTGGCTGTATTTTTATTGTTTCATTCTTTGGTTTTAGAAATTGAACCCACATGCTAAGGACACACTCTATCACTGAACTATATTCTCAGATCAAGATTTTGTGATTTCTATTATTTTATTTTGTCTTTTTGAGACAGGGTCTCCCTGTAGCCCTAGCTACTATGTAGACCAGGCTGGCCTTGAACTCACAGAGATCCACCTGCCTCTGCCTCCCAAAAGCTGGGACTAAAAGTGTGTGCCACCATTCCACCTGCCTCTGCCTCCCAAGTGATGGGGCTAAAAGAGTGTGCCACCATGCCTGGCTTATTTATTTTATTAAAAAAAATTTTTATTGCTATTTTATGTGTTATGAGTGTTTTGCCTGCAAACATGTTATGTGTACCATATGCATGCAATGCTTATCAAAGCAGAAGAGGGCATCAGATACCCTGGAACTAGAGCCATGTTCAGTTGTGAGTGACCATGTGCTGGGATGTCCATGTCCTCTGCAAGAGCAGCCAGTGCTCTTAATCGCTGAGCCATCTTTCCAGCCCTGATACTGTAATTTTTATGTTGTCTATCAGCCTGGGTGTTCTTGAATGGCCTTTGAATAATGTATCAAGGTTAGAAAATCCTTTTCCACTAAAAGGATAAATGGTTTCTCTCATGTTCTAGTTTTGGTCCCACACCATTAATGGAGTAGTCAATCTTTTCCCCTGGCTTGACTGCTGCCAGTGTATATTTGGGTCTTTTTTCCCTTTTCTGCAGTCAGACTGTCTATTCATATGTTGGTGCCATACACATAATTACTTAGGCTCCATCAGAAATTCTAATATCTAGTAGTGCTAAAACTCCCTTGTTGCAGTTTTTCCAGTTTTCTTGGCTATCTTGTTTTATCTACCCGTGAACTTTAGAGTTATTTGTTTATTTATTTTTTATCTTTTGAGACAGGGTCTCCCTGTAGCCCCAGCTGGCCTGGACCTCACTATGTAGACCAGGCTGCACTTGAACTCCAGAGAGCCTCCTGCCTCTGCCTCCCAAGTCCTGGGAAATTTAGTTATCTTGTCAAGTTCTGGATATGGCATTGTAAAGGAAGACTGTTGGTATTTAGAAGGGATTGTCTTGGCTATTTGAATTAATTTAGAGAGAGGACTGTTGTCTTTACAATGTAAAGCCTTCCTACTAAGAAGGTCCTATTTTGCACTTGGGAGACAGAGGCGGGCAGATCTCTGTGAGTTCCAGGCCAGCCAGGGCTATATAGTGAGACCCTATCTCAAACCAACCAACCAACCAACCAACCAACCAACCAACCAACCAACCAACCAACCAACCAACAGAAAATGTCTTGTTTCTGTGTCCCTTTTTTGTGGTGTTCTGGAATGACTTCAATATTTATTTGTTTGTCTTTTTATTTATTTATTTTTTGGTCTTTTTGAGATAGGATCTCCCTGTAGCCCCAGCTGGCCTGGAACTCACTATGTAGGCCATGCTGGCCTTGAACTCACAGAGATCCATCCGTCTCTGCTTCCCAAGTGCTGGGATTAAAGGCATGGGCCACCACGCCCGGCTTGCACTCTTTTTAAAAAAAAATTTATTATTTATTATTTTATGTGTATCAGTGTATTGCTTATTGCCTGCATGTATATGAATGCACCTGTGTTGTGCAATGCCGCAGAGGTCAGAAGAGGACTTTGGATTCCCCTGGAACTGGAGTCAAGGATAATTTGTAGCTGCTGTGTGGGTGCTGGGAATTGAACTCTGGTCTCAGAGCAGTCAGTGCTCTTAACCACTGAGCCATCTCTCCAGCCCCTGGCCTTGCACTCTTAATCCTTTTGCATTCACCTCCCAAGTGCTTAGTGAGGTTGCAGGGTTCTTTGTGACATGGCTCTGCCCACCTTTCCAGGTTAGTTCTGCTAGTCATGCTGACTTTCTGGCAGTCCCCAGACAAGCTAAGTTGTATGTTGTCATAGGTCCTTGGTAGGTACCTGCTCTTTTGCTTTAGTGTCTGAATTGTGGAGAGACTTTCCTAGGCCATCCTTTCTGAAGGCGTGCCCTTTACTTCCTTCACTGTATTTATGAGAGGTAAGAATTTGTGTGTGTGTGTGTGTGTGTCTAAAAAATGATTTTAAATTATGTTTCTGTGTGTATGTCTGTGGATATGTGCATAGGAGTGCAGGTGGCTGCAGAAGTCAGAGGTGTTGGATCTTCTGGAACTGTAGTTGCGGGAGGTTGTGAACTGCTCCATGTGGGTGCTGGGAACCAAGCTTGGGTCCTCTGCAAGAGCAGGACATGCTCTACCTGCTAAGCCACCTCTGCAGCCTGTGTTTAGGACTATCTCCTTTGTTAAGACAGTGATCATTTTCCCTTTTATTCATAGCACAGAGTAAATGGTACACAAGAGGCACTCAAAATATACTGGTGAGCCGGGCGTGGTGGCGCATGCCTTTAATTCCAGCACTCGGGAGGCAGAGGCAGGTGGATCTCTGTGAGTTCAAAGCCAGCCTGGTCTACATAGTGAGTTCCAGGCCAGCTGGGGCTATAGGGAGACCCTGTCTCAAAAAGACCATTATATATATACTGGTGAAGCCACGCTTGGTGGCATATGCCTGTAATTTCAGTCCTTGAGGGACTGAGGCTAGCCTGGGACACATATCAAGACCCATCTCACCTCCTCACACTTTTCAAAAAAAAAGGTAAAGTCATTCCATTCCAGTCCCTGGCCAGTCAAGTTCCAGCTGGTCCTTTGGGAAAGGTAGTGTTTCCTGCCCCTCAGGTATGTTACTCTTTCAGTTCTCCACTGTGATGACCCATATTGGAGACACCTGTCTGGCCTGGACTAGGCTCAAGCCTGGGGATTTATTTCATTATTCCTATGGCCTCCAGTGACATTTTCCGATGGACATCTCACCTATCTTTTTTTCCCAAAGATGAGATAGCTGTTAGCTCAGTGCATAGGTCTCTCCTGTCCTCCAGATCTGGCAAAAAGACACTTCTAAATGTTTGATTCTGAGAGCACAGCAGAAGCAATAGAGTCCAAAGTACATAGCTTTATTGAGTAAGAAGCAATTCCCTTTATAGAAGAGAGTTTGCTAGGAGGGAAGAGGCCGCCTCAGTATCATTCCGTTTTTCGTCCCGTTCCCACCGTCCTGTCCTTGGGAGAACCAGGCACTGCCTTCTGTCTGCTCCCTTGGCACATGGTCTACACAACATCACATCATGCTTTATCTCTTCATATTCTGTGTGGTTTGTGAGGTCCTCAAGGAACTCAGTCAGTGTGGTTAATGGAACATACTGTGGATTGAGGGCCACGTGCGTCAGTGCCCAGCTCTTGCAAATCTTGGGAGAGCATATCTCCTTCTGGTAAGGCTGCCCTCATCCTGGAGGGTTCTGGCTGTGGCTTTTGGTTCTTCCTGAGCCTTCCCCACTGTGAAGTCTTGTTTTCATTTTTTTTCTCCCTTTGTTAGATATGGTTTCAGATTATATTCTTGGGAGTCTGGAGATAACATGAGCTTATTCAGCTGCACCATATAAACTATGAGGAGGGAACAGTTTTGTATGTTATTGTTTTGTTTCCTTTTTTAATTTTAGTTTTTTTTTTTTCCTTTTTGAGACAGGGTCTCCCTGTAGCTCCAGCTGGCCTGGAACTCACTATGTAGACCAGGCTGGCCTCGAACTCACAGAGATCTGCCTGCCTCTGCCTTCCAAGTGCTGGGACTAAAGGCGTGCGCCACCACACCCCAGCTTGTTGTTTTTTGAGACACAGTCTCCCTGTAGCCCTAGCTGGCCTAGAACTCACTATTTAGACCAGGCTGGCCTTGATCTCACAGAGATCTGCCTGCCTCTTTCTCCTGAGTGCTGGGACTAAAGGTGTGTGCCACCATGTCTGGGTTATTTTAGCTTTTTGAGTCAGGGTCTTATGTATCCCAGACTGGCCTTGAACTCACTGTGTAGCCGAGGATGACCTTGAATTCCTGATCCTCCTGCCTCTTCCTCTCATGTGCCAAGTTGTGTGCCATTGTATCCAGCTTTAGTTCTACATGTTTACTATTTATATTTGGAGAAATAACCTTTTATTATTGAAGAAAATTTGGACAGTAAAGGCAAATCCAGAAAAGAATCGACTCTGAATTTGCCTTCTTCCCACTCCTCCTCATCCTCCCATATAGCTTGCCTTTCTACCTGCTTTTCTCTTTGCAGAAATTCTTGACTTTGCCAGAGTGATTGGTATTGATCCCATCAAGGAACCAGAACTGATGTGGTTGGCGAGGGAGGGTATTGAGGCCCCATTGCCGAAGGGCTGGAAACCATGGTAAGTCATTATGGGGGCTCACTAACATGGCCTGTCAGAGGCAGAGGACCCTCCCTCTGAAGTTATGTATGTGAGTGTACGCACTTGTGTGTGCATATGTGTGTGTGTGGAAGCCAGAGGTTGGTGTGCTGTCATGCCCCAACTCTTTTGATGTACTATTTTTGTTTTATTGTGAGTGTTTGCCTGCATGTATATGTGTACCACATTCCTGCAGATATCTGTGGAGGTCAGCAGAGTACATCAGATCTCCTGGAACTGGAGTTACAGATGGTTGTGAGCTACCATGTGGGTGCTGGGAAACAAACCTGGGTCCTCTACAAGAGCGAGAAGTGCTCTTAACCTCTGAGCCATCTCTCTAGCCCTTTTTCTTCTTTTTTTCCCCTTTGAGACCTGGCTGGTATGGAACTTGCTATGTAGACCAGGCTGGCTTTGAACTCACAAGAGATCCAACTACTTGCCCCCCAATGCTGGGATTAAAGGTATGTGTCACTATGCCTGGCTCTAATTTAGTTTTTGAGACAGGGTCTCTCATTGAACCCTGTGTTCACTGGTTGGCTAGGCCGACTGGCCAGTGAGCACTAGGGATCTACCTGTCTGCCTCCCCAGTGCTGTGCCACACCTGGCTTTTTTATTTATTTATTTATTTTTTAATGTAAATGAGTGTTTTGCCTACATGTATATCAGTGTACCATGTGCATGGTTGGTATCCTCAGAGACCAGAAGAGGGTATCAGATCCCTTGGAACTGGAGTTATAGATGGTTGTGAGTCACTGTGTGCTTAGAACTAAACCCATGTCCTCTGCAAGAACAGTATTCCTCCCCCCCCCCTTTTTTTTTTGTCTTTTTGAGATAGGGTTTTCCTTTTTCCTGCAGCCCCAGCTGGCCTGGCATTCACTAAGTAGACCAGGCTGGCCTTGAACTCACAAAGATCCACCTGCCTCTGCCTCCTGAGTGCTGGGATAAAGCTGTGCACCACCAAGCCTGGCTTATTTTAGTTTTTTAAATAAATACTATTTTTTTTTTTTTTTGAGACAGGGTCTCATTATGTAGCCCTGGCTGGCATGGAACTCACTATGTAGGTCAGGCTGGCCTTGAATTCACAGAGATCAGTCAGCCTCTGCTGCTTAAGTGCTGGGATTAAAGGTATATGCTACCATACCTGGCATATTTTTATTTTTATGTGTACGTGTGTATGTCTCCTGTGGGTCTGTGCATATGAGTACAGTTGCCCATTGTATGAGCATCTGAGGCCAGAAGAGGGCATTGGATCCCCTGGAGCTGGAGTTGTAGGCAGCTGTCAGCCACCTATTGTGAGTTCTGGGAATAGAACTCAGGTCATCTGCAAGAGTAATAGATGCTCTTCACCCCTGAGCCATCTCTGCAGCCTTTGACTTTTAAAAAAAATGTGGGTGCCACTGGGCGTGGTGGTGCATGTGAGTTCAAGGCCAGCCTGGTCTACATAGTGAGTTCCAGGCCAGCTGGGGCTATGGGGAGACCCTGTCTCAAAAAGACCAAAAAAAAAAAAAAGAAAAGAAAAAGAAAAAGTGGGTACTCAAGAGGTTTTCCATCATTTTTCTATTACTCTTCTACAGCCCCAGTGTACCTTCACCTGTGCCATACAGAAAATGCAAATCACCTAATTGAACTTCTAGAGATAAAAATTGTAGTCTGGGAAATTAAAAACAAAAACAAGGCCCAGGGCTGTAGCTCCGAGGTGCAGCATTTGATAAGCTCAGGCCTGGGGAGCTGCAGAAAAAAAAACTATTCCAAGGGCTGGGGTTTGCAGCTCAGCATGTGCAAGGCTCTGGGTTCCACCACAAAAAGGAAATAATCTAACTCTGCAAAATGTTATTATTTGGAGAACACTGGTAAAATGTACAGAGGAGAACTGTTTTCTTCTTTAGGAGACCCTTATATCAAAAATATTTCAATAAAAAAACCAAAACAAAAAAACAAAAACAAAAAACTTAATTGGAGAAGGGGGGTTATGATCAAAATACATTGTGTGAAATTCTCAAAGAATCAATAAAATTTGTATGTATGTTTGTCTTTTTGAGATAGGGTCTTCCCATAGCTACAGCTGGCCTGGAACTCTCTGTAGACCAGGCTGGCCTCCATCCTGCAGAGATCTGCCTGCCTCTGCTACCCAAGTACTAGGATTAAAGGTGTATACCACCATGCCAGGCTTCAATAAAAATACACTTTTTTAATTAAAAAAAAAATTTTAAGCCGGGTTTGGTGGTATACACCTTTAATCCTTTAGTCTCAGCACTCAGGAGGCAGAGGCAAGTGGATCTCTGTGAGTTCAAAGTAAGTTCCAGGCCAGCTCAAAAAGACAAAAAATTATTTTTATTTTATGTGTATGAGTGTTATGCCTGCATGTGTGTAAGTACACCTATGTCATGCAGTGCCCACGGAAGACAGAAGAGGGTGTCAAATCCCCTGGAACTGAAGTTATAGACAGTTGTTAGCCACTATGTGGGTACTAGGATTCAAAACCAGGTCTTCTGCAAGAACAGCCAGTGCTCTTACCTGCTGCGCCATCTTTCCAGCCTCAGTACAAATATTTTTAAAAATGTGGGTGCTGAGGGTCAAACTCAGGTCCTCATGCTTGCATGGCAGGTACTTTACCTGAGCCATCTCCCCCCAGCACCTGAAGATTATTTTATTTATTTTTCCCCCACCCCCTTGAGATTAGTTTTAATGATGGGTGGGGCAGCACCGTGCCGTTTCCCTGTAGGTTCCCTGTAGGTTTCCCTGTAAGGATTACCTCTTGTTTTAGGACTTAGCAAGCTGACTTGATGGTCCCTGGGATGGGGCTCAGCGTGTACCTCTAGACCATTGAGCTGCCACCTTGGCTCAGTTCCTCTAACACTGCTGTTTGGTTTGGCTGTGCTGAGGAGGGGGTCATTGTTTTTCCTTGCACGTTGATATAAATTAAAAATGACAGCTGTGGAGTCTTGGGAGTTGAGTTGGCTCAGTTGGTAAAGTGCTTGTCTTGCAAGCATGAGGCCCCGAGCTTGATCTCCAGAACTCGGGTAAAAAAAGGCAAGCATGGTGGCATGTGCTATAATCTCAGCATAGGGAAGTGGAGACAGGTGTATCCCTGGGACTTTCTGGCCAGTCAGCCTGGCTTGCTTGGTGAGCCCTGGAATGGTGAGAGATCCTGTCTCAAAAACAGGAATACAATACTGAGGAACAATATCTGAGGTTGTTCTCTGGCCTCCACATGCATGTGCACACATGTGCATTAGCACACATGAAAATACACATCTATACACACACATCAAAATATACCAAAAGTGAGAACTGAATCTCCTTAGCATCTCTGAAATAGATGCTGAGGCTAAAGGACTTTGTAGTGAGGCCACACAGATTTGGCAAAGTGTTCTTTCTCCCTCGGCAATAGCCCTGCCATCCTATCCTTGAACTTGTGTAACCTACTCTTATGTTTGTTTTCTTTTGTTTTGAGACAGAGTCTCACTATATAGCCCCAAATGGCCTGGAACTTGCTATGTGGACCAACCTGGTCTTGAACTCACAGAGATCTACCTGTCTCTGCCTCCTTAAAGGCATGCAACACCGCACTCAGCTTTTTATTATTTTTATTTTTATTTAATTTTTAAAAATTATTTTTATTTTATGTGTATGAGTGTATTGCCTGCAGGTAAGTGAGCGCACCCGTGTCGTGCAATGCCTCGGAGGTCAGAAGAGGGCTTCGGATTCCCCTGGAACTGGAGTTAAGGATGGTTTGCAGCCGCCATGTGGATTCTGGGAATTGAACTCGAGTCCTCTGCAAGAGCAGTCAGTGCTCTTAACCGCTGAGCCATCTCTCCAGCCCCAGCTTTTTTTTTTTTTAAATTTATTATTTATTATTTTTAATTTATGTGTATGCATGTATTGCCCGCATGTAGGTAAGTGCACCTGTGTCATGCAATGCTTGCGGAGGTCAGAAGAGGCTGGAGTTAACGGACAGTTGTTAGCTGTCACATGGGTGCTGGGATTCAAACCTGGGTCTTCTGCAAGAACAACCAGTGTTCTTAACTGCTGAGCCATCTCTCCAGACCTTTTTATTTTTAATTTAAATTTTATGTGTGTATTTTGTCTACATGTATGTAAGTGTCCCCATGTGTGAAGTACCTTTGGAGGCCAGAAGAGGATGTCAGATTTCTTGGAACTTGAGTTATAAATGGTTGTTAGCCACCATATGGGTGTTGGGAACTGAACCTGGGTGTTGTGCAAGAGCAGTCAGTACTCTTAACCTCTGAGCTGTCTCTACAGCCCCTCATTGATATTTTATAATTCACTTGGTGCTCTGCATTGAGAGAGAACTCATTTAGGCTGTCTCCAGGTGGGGAAGCTCTAAGAAGCCACCGTGGACCTCCTCTCCACTCATAGTGACACTGTGTGCTTCGTGCCTGCTCTGTTCTCTTCTGTTGGTCTCTTATCACGGGTGTGGCGCCTTCTCCAAGTTGAGTCCCCTAAAGCTGGTACCATAAATTTATGTCTCACCCTAGAGTGTGTTTTCCTGTTTTTCCCAAACTATTCTTGAGATGTCTTCTCTCAAGGTTGGTAAGGCACATTTGGTGAGCAAGGTGTAATTATTCTTTTCTTATCCTTACCATTTAATGTGTTGGCTGAACTTCAAAATGGCCACTCACCCACCTTAGTCTCTCAGCTGAAGGCTCATAATCCTTTTAGATTTTCCTCACTCAGCAGGCTCCTTAGTCTGTTGATCTTTTAGCTCTCTCTCCTTGGACCATCTCCAGCTTTATATCTTTCTTTTAGGAAATCTGTTAGCACTTCAGACGGTATTCCTGGCGCTGAGAACTCATTGTTGTATTAGGAGGATAGTGCTTTCTGTTTGTTTCCAGTATCCACTCTGATGGAGGGTGGGGAACTGTAATTGATTTAGGTAGAGTTGTGTGCCAGGCCATATATAGACATACCATAGTGTGTGTGTGTGTGTGTGTGTGTGTGTGTGTGTGTGTGTGTGTGTT